CTGATCACGCCATGGAACTACCCGCTTATGATGCTTTCGTGGAAAATGTCTGCTTGCCTGGCAGCTGGAAACACTGTGGTGCACAAACCAGCGGGAGTGAGTCGACTAGGATCTTCTAGTTTAAGAATAAAGAAATAAGCGAAGAATTGAAGTAAATGTAAAAAGGAAAGAAACAAAGAAAATATTGAGTTGTGTACATTAGTTCTAAAACACTCAACGGGACAGTCGTTACATTTCTTAGAAGATTTTCCTCATTTCAAATTATATGGAGGGTTGTAGGATTTTCGATGTCACAGATAAGACACAGTTTCAATCTTCTTCAAATTTTCCAATTTTTTTTTCGGCAGACTCCGCATTACGTAAGTGGAAAGCTTGAACTCCCGAGCTTTCTTCGTATCATTAGTGATTCTCGGAACATGAAAAATCCGAAAGGATGAGGAAGAAAAGTAAGAGAATTTTTGGGTCGGGAGAATTGGAGGTTGACGCTTGCATATTCGCCGTCACTCGTTCGTGAATGTGAGAATGATAAAATGGCTCTCTTTTCCTTATACTGTATATGCCAAAACGGGACTTTTTCGAGATTTCACGAGCTTTCCAAAGGAAGACGAAGAAATTGCAATAAAACTCATGTAAGGACCGGATAGAACTGATCAATCTATAGATGATAACTCACTTTATAATGGAATAGATAACTGTAAAAAGATCACCTCTGATAGCATGGCATTTACGTAAATCATTCAGTATTGATATCGAATATCATTCAATATCATTATTGATATTGAATAGAATTTTGCTTCGAAAAAAACTGTCTAATAAGCGCCATTTTCATCTAAAAACTCTGTTTTCAGGTAACACCACTAACAGCCCTGAAATTTGCCGAATTAGCAGCCTTGGCCGGAATTCCCAATGGAGTAATCAACATTGTCACAGGATCAGGAGGTTATTTCTCTTAACTCTGAGAAGACAAACTTTCTAATGATAAAGTTATAGCGGAGATTGGAAAAGTGTTAGCTGAGCATCCGGATGTTAGGAAAGTCGGCTTCACCGGTTCGACTGAGGTTGGCGCAGAAGTGATGACCAGGTAAGGTTTTCTATACGAGCATTTTATATATTTTTCTTTTCTTGTTTTTCTGGAAGTTTCAACTTTAAACTGACTGTTGAAGAAGTTATTCATAATTTTCCAAGTAATGTTATTGTAATGAGCTGGAGACTACAATCATTTTTTAGCTGTGCTAGTTCAAACATCAAGAAGGTGTCCTTAGAGTTGGGAGGAAAATCTCCACTGATAATCTTCCCGGACTGCGATTTGGAAAGAGCAGTCAAACAGACTTGCGGCGCTGTTAGTGATTATCTTTCGAAAATTCAGCTATCAAAGATTTCTAGAATGCTCTCTAGGTTTTCTTCAACAAAGGAGAGAACTGCATTGCTGCTGGCAGAATTTTCGTTGCCGATAGCATTTATGATAGCTTCCTGAAAAAGCTAGTCGACGAGACTAAGAAGGTGAGTTGATGATAGTAAGACTGGTGAAATCGTATAGCATTATTATTTTTTTATTTAAGTATGTCATTGGAGACCCTCTTGACCGATCGACTGCCCACGGACCACAAAATCACAAAGCTCATTTGAATAAATTACTCGAATTCGTGAAAAAATCAAAGGAAGGTGGAGCCAAGGTGAGAAGACGAAGATTAACTTGAGAAATATTTCGTAAACGTTTTTTAGTCCGACGTTCACAGTAAAATACTTTGAATTATTCAAGAATATCAAAAAGTCATGAAACTTGTTCATAATATGAGTATGCCCTTCTAATTCATATTACATCTACGGTCGAGACCGAAGTCCGTCCGAATGGGAATTCTGTCCTGGATCTCAATCAAATCACTTCTAGGTGGTTTACGGAGGAGAACGTCTACCGCGACCTGGCCTTTTCTTCCCTCCTACAATCCTATCAGAAGTAGAGGATGATAATTTTGCTGCAATCGAGGAATCCTTTGGACCAATTATGTGTGTTAGCCGATTTGATGATGAGTAAGTGTTGAAAATTATTATGGATGGATGAAATGGTTGACTCAATTGGCACTAAAATACACTATAGCTAGTGTGACTGCTGACTGATGCTATCAGTCAGCAGAATTTTCGCAACTGCATCAAATTGAAAAAATAACATAGGCTTCAATTTTCATAGTAGTTATGGGTTTTTTAGCAATTCAGGTAGAAATCATTGCTTACACGTCATAGCAAGGTGAAAAACCCTCAAATTTCGCAATTACGGCTTG